GTGGAAGGTGCAAAACAAGGCATTGTCGTGGCTGGTGGTCAAGGACAAGGAAATGGTCTTACACAATTGTCTTGTCCTCAAGGAGTCGTTGTCGATCAATTGGGCACTGTCTATGTGGCTGCTTACGTAAATGATCGAATCATGCGTTGGCCCAAAGGAGCCACACAGGGGAAGTGTCATTGTTGGTGGAAACGGTAGAGGAGGACAATCGAACCAACTCAATTGGCCCATCGGTTTGTCATTCGATCGACACGGCAATCTCTATGTCGTCGAGTACGGAAATCATCGATTACAAAGATTCGACCCTCAATCAAATAAATAAGGAACAAATACAAAGACTTACCTTGTCGACGTGATTACCTAATTACCAAGATCACCTGATTAATTAACCTTTCTGTTCCAATTAACTAGAAATCATAATTAATTAATAAAAGTAATAAAAGATATCTACACACACTAAAAGCCAGGATACCTTAGGAAACCATTAAAATGAAATAGAGACACAAGGCGGAGACCTGGCCGACTTTCCTCAAAGCGAAAACCTTGAAATCTAGTTCAACATTCCAAGGCTTCCCCGAGTTCACACAAGGTGTGGTATTGAGAATAATGAAGAGCATGTTGTGTTCTATCAGATTCCAAGGATTCCCAGAAATCTAGAACCGGGAAGTGCTGCAACCGAAGGCTTTCCCAAAATCCGCCGAGGCTACCATAGCAGTGCAACGGTAAACGACGGATTCCAAGGATCCCCGAGTTGAAACAAGTTGAGCTGTTGAGAATAATGAAGAGCATGTTCTGTTCTATCAGATTCCAAGGATTCCAAGAAATCTAGAACCGGGAAGTGCTGCAACCGCAGGCTTTCCCAAAATCCTCCTAGGCTACCATAGCAGCTCAACGGTAAACGAAGGATTCCAAGGATTCCCCGAGTTGAAACAAGTTGAGCTGTTGAGAATAATGAAGAGCATGTTGTGTTCTATCAGATTCCAAGGATTCCAAGAAATCTAGAACCGGGAAGTGCTGCAACCGAAGGATTTCCCAAAATCCTCCTAGGCCACCATAGGAGTGCAACGATAAATCAAGGATTCCAAGGCTTCCCCGAGTTCAAACCAGGTGTGGTATTGAGAATAATGAAGAGCATGTTGTATTCTGTCAGATTCCAAGGATTCCAAGAAATCCAGAACCGGGAAGTGCTGCAACTGAAGGATTTCCACAATCCTCCTAGCCCACCACAGGGGTGGAACGGTAAACGAACGATTCCAACGATTCCCTGAGTTGAAACAAGGTGTGGTATTGAGAATAATGAAGATCAGGTTGTATTCTATTAGATTCCAAGCTTTCCAAGAAATCTGGAACCGGGAAATGCTGCAACCGAAGGATTTCCGAGAATCGTGCTAGGCCAGCACAGGAGTGGCATGTTAAACCAAGCATTCCAAGGTTTCCCCGAGTTGAAACAGAGAGTGGTGTTGAGAATAATGAAGAGCATGTTGTATTCTATCATATTCCAAGGATTGCAAGAAATCTGTAACCGGGAAGTCCTGCAACCAAAGGATTTCCGAAAATCCTCCTAGGCCACCATAGTAGTGGAACGGTAAACGAAGGATTCCAAGGATTCCCTGAGTTGAAACAACGGATTTTTTTTTGTGGAAAATAGTGAAGAGGATGTTGGATTCCATTGGGTTCGAGGGATTCTAAGAAATCGGGAACTAGGATCCCTTGAAACCGAAGGATTTTGAGAAAATGGTCATAGGCCACGATAGTAGTAGAATAGAATACCAAGGGTTCGAAGGATTCTCCTGTTGAAACAAAGTTTGTTTTGTGAAACGCGACCTGAAATGATTGTTCAAGTGTTAAGGATAGAAATTTGGACCCCCCCCCCCCCCCCCACAGACCGTCATCGACTTGTGACTCACCCATCACAGACCGTGACCGACAGATGATAACCCTATCACAGATTGTTACTGACAGGTGATTACTTCATCACAGATCGTTAGGGACAGGTGATTCCACCGTCATCCACCATTGCAGACAGACGAAGACGAGTTAAAGCGTGAAGAATAGGGATTTGAATTACTTCTGAAGACATTTTAGTTAATTAATTAACTAACTACAGTTTACTTAATTAGTTAGCCTTTCCAGACCCTGAGAGACAAGGTTTGGATCCATCGCAAACAGTATTAGAAATGCAGGGAGGATATAAAGGTGGAGCTATGACTATGATACAGCTGGATAGACACCTCTGGACGTCGTTGTAGACTGTCATGAATCGTATGGGCGTACAAGCAAGGACCGGATAGGTCTACAATCTGGATAAAACCTTTCAGCTGTTTCGGTTTTGTATTTGTAGCTGATGCACTAGAGTATAGTGAAAGAAAGAATCCAGAAATCGATGAAACAATACTTTATCTGATAAGAACTAACAGTTTTGTCGTGTTTCACATTTTAATCCCGAAGGGATTGCGCTAACAGTTTTTTGAGAATAATGAAGCGCATGTTGGATTCTACCAGGTTCCATGGATTCCAGGATATCTGGAATGTGGAAGCCTTGAAACCGAAATACATCTGAAAATCGTCATAGGCCCACATAAGAGGTGAATCAAGGGGGAAAAGCGGATTCCGTCTATCCCGGATACCACCGGGATACACAGGATACGCAGGATACATTCGGGATACATAGGATACATCGGGGATTCATAGGATACATTGGCGATACATAGGATACATTGGGGATACACAGAGGATTCCGAGGAAATAATATGATACAATGCAAAAAATATGAAACAAATATTAAATATTCAATGAGGATGCTGACTACTCAGTTTTGATAAAGAAATCTTATCAGTGACATACAGTTTGGAATGTTTTTTGTCGCTTGTTTCTACTCTGAATATATTGTTTTACGCGATGTGATTAACTTATATTTAGAATAATATTAACATAAGTTGCTTAGTATCTAACGGTTCATTTTCTCTCACGTTCATTACATGTGCGTGCCAAACGGTCGACCGAATTAAATGATACAGAATGAGAAAAACAATAAATTTCTGTTTCTCGTGTTCATTTACAACTTTTTTTTTGCAATTCGATATTATTGTACACAACTTCTTCGTCTTTACTGCACGTCATCATTTTTTTGTGTCTTCATATTTCGAATTTTCTTTCACAATGCCACAACCCACATGGAATATGGATCTTACTATTCTTCCTGGTGATGTACTGTCATTATATGGTGAACCGTTTTACGAACTAGTTCGTAAATTAGCTGGTCCAGGTGAGGCAAAATTACTTGAGATACAAGGTATTCGAAGTGCTTATTCATTGATCAATACTGAGGATATTTTCGATATATTAAATTATCCATGTAAAGCATTGAATGAAGTAAAAACAAGTATATGTCTATTATTGGATGATAATCGATATATTATTAAAGCCGGTTGTAAAAGTAATTTACGATATCTCATTCAATTATTTACCTTAAAAAATCAAGAACATTTGAAAACAATGGGAGCCCGATTGAAATCAAAGAAATCGAATGATAATGATATTAGTAATACTTTTTCAACTCAATCGTCAGCACAAGTTCTTCCACTCTCTTCATTATCATCACAACAAACAACACCAGCAGGTTAGGGTTTTAATTAATTTGTTGAAATATCAGTTGATGGGATTTATTACCACAGATTTTAAATAGTTAATATTTTAACAACTTCAAAGCATAGCTTTCTAAGTAAAATATCAAAAACAATCCTTATGTTTCTTTTTTATGTGCTATTTTTCTAATAGAAGTCATTCCGAACACTATCTTTTGCGTTGATTGAAATAAGAAATCCTTTTGTAAAACGTGTTAAATATTTTTTCCTTTTTGTTGTTTTTTTTATATAATATCTGATCAATGGTTTTGTTTGATCTAAGCTAAATTCTGAAAATACTTGAATTCAACAGTATTTTGCAACACATAAGAATATATCAATCGAAAAATATATTAATGAAGACTTAAGAAAACGATGCATGTAAGAAGCATATCGATCACCTTATTTTTACCCTTGTAAAAGAAAATAATACTACTAAAGAAATGTTTATTATTATATAAGAGAATTAAATATTTCTTATTTTTATTATGCAGAAATAAGATTTTATTTACTTGCTAAGAGATCAAGAAAAACAATTAATCTTTAAAAAAACATGAACTTATTTCTAAGAAAATGTACAATGAATATGGTACTGCACAGCTGTGTGATCATTAACTTTGCATTTTCATTAATGATTGTTTTTCTGCAACGCCACATCTATTGTGATTCTTTTTACTAATATGATTTCTTTTTTAAACCTTATTTTTGTCTTAAATCTCTTGATAATGAAGAGCATCTTGTTTCGTCATACGAAACCAAGAAATATCTAACCTTTTCCATCAATGATTAAGATTTCTTTTTTTGTCTTATTAAGAAAGAGTACAAGAAAGCACACATTCCAAACAGTAAAATTTAAGGAATTAAACATTTATAATAAATTGTTCTTCGCAAAAATTCTTTAGTGTACTACATAGAATACACAAGCAATATTCATACTGATAAAATTGTTCGAGTACTCGAACGAGTAGTTTAAGTATTCATTCTGATAAGTTGTACTTGGTTGATATGTATTTTCACTAACTTAATAAATCAGTTGAACGAAAGAAACGAAGTGGTGAGGAGAACTGCATCCAATATTTTTCGTTAGAAAAGATGATACTTAAATAAATAAATAAATATTAGCCTTTGTTGACTATAATACTTATTAGCAAGCTTCATATTAATAATTAAAGATATTTTTTTTTAATTTTCATTAAGATGAAACGAACGAATTAAAGCATCGTGATTTTATTACTCGAGCATTAGATGATTGGTTTAATAAAAACAAAGCTAATTTTAATCTTTCAAATGAAAAGTTTGTCGAAAATGTTGATTATAAATTAACATTAGTTCTCAATCAAGCTTCTGAAGAAGCTTTTATTTCATGTTCTTGTGGCGTTCGTGTTAATCTAGGGAAAGAACGACGTCATTTTTCTTTAAGTAATTATTACAAACATATAAAATCAACGAAATGTACTATGGTTTACAATCGAAGAAAGTCCATGACTAACAACAGATCTAATGAAGAAAATGAATCTCTTCAAAAACAAATTTCACAAACTGACGTGATAACTTCTGTAGAATTATCATCAAGTACTCAAAATATCAATAATCAGTCGTATCATACATCTAATAAACGTAAAGAGTCTTCTTCATCGAGTGATGCATCACGAAATATTCGGCACAGGTCGCAATGAACGATTGCTTATCTTTTTCATGGAAAGGCTAACACATATGTATTTTATAGGACGATTTATTAGTGTATTTTATTTGTATAGTGATATTTCATTTTATTTTTTTAAATGTATTTATTTTTTTATATTACATATACTTCTGATAGAAAGAGAATAAAATTGTATAGACAGGTGTGCAAAAAAATAATCACGATGATGTAACTTTATTTCAATTGAATTGAATAAAATTTAATTTTTCATGCTCATTTTGCTGTGCAGCTTAGCATACATATTATTTTAATGTTTGAAAAATTACTTATCTCATTATATTCATCACATAATTCATAATGCAGTCATTCGTCAACTTTTTGCATCTCTTGTATATTTGTTTCATGATTGGTATATAACGCCCTCATTGGTTCTTAAAGGCTAGGTTTTATTGGTTACATGCCTAAACAATGGTCATTGTGAAGTAGTCTTCTATATATATATGTATGAAAACAAGTAGCAGGCCGCATATTCCAAAACAATTAGTATATGCTAACAATATTTCTCAATTCGAAAGAACACAGCAATAATTTCTGACAATTATTTTTTATTTCTAAATTTTCTTTATTGTCTACACGGTGGTTCTTATTCTCACTATTGAATCGCTCATATTTGAAATATTCAATCGATTGTCGTCGAAAAAAAACTGTTATAAAGACAAAGTCTTATATTCTTATTTTGTGGCAAAGAGAGAAAGGCAGAATGTCACTAGTATATTCTCCTTTAGTATTACCGGACGATGTCATTGCTTATTGTAGAAAAGATTTTTTTGACTTAGTCAATCAAACATGTGGGGATGTTGTACAGGATTTGATGGAAAAACTTTCTATTAATTCCGTGAAAACGTTACTAGGGGTTGAAGATGATATTTTCTGTTTTTTAAAAGAAAATTGTAGTGCTCTAAAAGACATACAAGAACGAGCATGTCTGTATTTGGATGATGGTACAGTTATTCTCAAACCAGGTTTACGTATCGATCTCGATCGCTTCATTGAAGCTTTGCGTGTCAAGAGTATTCAAAGTCAATTATCACAATCAGCAGGAGAGTCATATGACAACAATTCTTCCCTATCTAATATACTAGCAACATTCCATTTGTTTGAAGAGAATAATAATTCTTTTAATAATAATTATTTTCTCAAAACTCTAGTCAATAACATTATTAGTAATCACAAAAAATCGAAAAATAATTATCGATATTGTGAATTAGTGAATACTTTTGCTAAAGCATTCTATATTATGGGCGGGCGAAACACTTACGAATTTATTCGTTTGAATCTACCTGGTGCATTACCATCAATAACTTCTATTGAAAATGATCTTGCAAAAGATGGTAGAAAAATAATTGAAGGCGAGTTTCGGTACGATGCTCTTAATAATGATCGAACTTCAAACGATTATCAGTTAGCTGTCTGTTCTGAGGATTGCACGGGAGTGATCCAGAAAGTAGTATATAATGCATCTACTAACACATTCATTGGATTTGCTACACCACTCGACCACGGAATTCCTGTTCCTCGATATTTTCAGACTGACTCATATGAGCAGTTGAAAACGTGGTTCGAGAATAATGATAGATCGAGTCTTTTAAACGTGCATATGCTACAGCTGCTGACAACATCCGAATCTTCTTCATCTCCATTTCTTTTAGGAGCTTATGGAATTACCAGTAAATTTGACGCAATCGATGTACTTCGTCGATGGTTGTGGATATTTGAGCGTTCTCAGCTGTCGAACATTCGAGTCATTGCTTTTGCCTCCGACTGTGATGCTAAATATCTACGTGCGATGCGTCTAATTACAGGTTTTTTTGCAAAGCTTCCTAATATACTTGTGAGTGAACGTAGTGATGCGCTTGAAGTGAAATTACCGAAAGAGTGGTCTTCCTGGTTTTTCATGCGAACTCGTCAGCTATTTTTTTGCATGCAAGATCCAGTGCATTTGTGTACTAAGGTTCGTAATCGTATGCTTTCTGAGTCTGCGTCAATGTTAATTGGGGAAGGACAAGTATCAGTAGATGTACTATTTGATTTAATCAAGAGTCAGTCGAAGCTGATGCACGGATTAGTGAAAACGGATGTTCAGCCAAAAGATAGACAGAACTTCAGTTCTTGTATGAAAATCACAAGTGATAGTGTTCTATCTGCTCTTGAAAATATTTCTGGCTCATATGCTACACAAGTATTCTTGCAACTTTTACGTAGTATTATAATAGCTTATTTCGAAAGCAGTACATCAACCATGGATAGAATATATCATAGCTGGAAAGCAGTATTCATCTCCCGACTTTGGTGGAGTTGGTTACAGTTAGCCGATGTGAAAAAATTTCCTATGACATATCAAAACAAAGACAAAAGTTGTCTTTTTATCACAAAGTCCGCTTACTATTCCATTGAAATCAATGCTCATACATTGCTTTCAATTGTTCTTCTTGTTTGTCAAGGTGATTTGCCTGAATCAGCACTGTCTTTATCTGACTTTCATTCACAGAGTTGTGAAAATATGTTTAGACTAACAAGATCAATGTCTGGCATGTTTTCATCAAACGTAAATTTTACAGTCGATCAATGTCTTGGACGAGCTGGGAAACTTTCAGTCTTACAAGAAATTGAGAAACAAAGTGAATGTGATGAATCTGGATGTTCTTTAAAATTTCCTAAACATCATAAACGACGATACAAAAAATCTGTCTTGATGACTGATCGTTCACAAGCTTCTTCCAGCATCTTAACACATAGTACTATTGAAAAAACAATTTTTCGTGCCTTTAATGATGCCTACAATATGTTGTCTGTACTTGGTATTGACGTAACTTTAAAAAAGACACAAAAAAATACTTTAAGTAAAGGGAGCACTTTTGTACGTACTCAAATTGAACGGAAATCTCATACTACTGACTATAGTGATGCTGGAAATTACTCGTCTGATGATGAAACAGATTCCATATTGGATAAAGTGCTTGATATATCCACTACGGACACAGAAAGCTCATCCGAAAATGATTCTGATGAATTACTCACTAACTCAAATAGCAAAAGATCACAGTTTCAAGGAATAAGAATTTTCAATGAAATTCCTTCTTCACAAATTGATTCATATTTTCAGATTAAGATCGATGGAAACGAAAAGTATATGCATAAACAGACCGCATGTTGGCTTTTTACCGATAGTAAAGAAAAGCTATCAGCTGATCGACTTCAACGTGTTAAACAGGCAGGTAAAAAATGTTCGAAAAATAAATGATAAATATTGTAGTATGAAAGTGTGTGGTATATGTGTGATGTGCGATATGTCTTGCTGGAGCAATGTGTATATATATGAGCAATGTGTGATCTATGATATGTGTAAAATGATTGGTGTGAGCGTGAAAAGTAGGGAGAGAGAAAAAGGATGCTATTCAATTTTGTTTTCTTGTTTTTTCATATTTTTTTTCTTCAATAAAATGAAAGTAAATAAATTTTCTCTGTTTGGCCCAGTAATCTTGACATCCGTCTTATTAATGACATGTTTTGGTTTCTGATGTTGACAGACGGCTTTCCTTTATTTATTACTGCTTGATTTGAGAATTCAATATTTGAATTTCAAATATTTCCGCAACTTATCGGAGTAACATTATCTCTTATACCAGAGTCTAGATAATACAGTAAGGATACATAGAATACATTGGAGTTACATATGGTATGCCAGGAATAAAAAGGATACATTGGGGATACACAGGATACATCGGGGATACAGAGGATACAGGGGATACATCGGGGATACAGAGGATACCAGGATACCACAATCCGCTTTTTCCCCCTTGAGGTGAATACTAAACTTAGGATTCCAAGGATTCCTCGATGTGAAACAAAGTCTGATGTTTAGAATGTTCAGGAGCGTGTTCGATTGTATTAGATTCCAAGGATTGCAAGAAATCTAGAATTCCGAAGCCTTGATACGGAAGGATTTCGAAGAATCCTCATAGGCCATGATATGAATGGCGTACTAAACCAAGGATTCCAAGGATTCCCCGTAGTGAAACAAAGTCGCGTGTTGGGAATAATGAAGAGCATGTTCGATTCTAGTAGACTTCAGCGATTCCAAGAAATCTGTAACTGGGCAGCCTTGATAAGGAAGGATTTCCGAAAATCCGCATGGGCGCATGGACGCCTAGCAGAGGGGAATCCTAAGCAAGGATTCCAAGAATTCCGCAACATGAAACAAGGTCTGGTGTTAAGGATATTGAAGTGGATGAATAGGTGTATGATTTTCCAATAATGGCGATCGATGCGAAGTAAGATAACATTCGAAGTTAAGAAGTGGCGGATAGCGTGTTGCGGCGTTACGTGGTTGAAATACGGATGTCAGCATTGCATGGATACCGAGATGTTAAAAGGATGTTGATTGTGTGGAATGGTTTTTTATTTATAAGTTTCAGGGTTGTGTATATTGTTGTGATTGTGTATGCTTGGCGTGGAAGGTAGAATTGATATGCACAGTCTCTCCGGCGTGCGAACTCTGGGTCGCAGTCACAGCTGGAGAGGTCGTTTTGAAGAGGCGGGGTGGTAGGTTTTTTGCGGAGGGCTCTGTAATTATTTGTTTTTTCTACAGGTATTAACTTTGGGTTTTCTGATGGTGTTATATCCATTAGATCTGATTTCATATCTCACTATATTACTGAACGTGTACGGGCGTTTGGAATAGTATCCATTATGCCTACAAGTTAGTGAGCTTTCTCAGGAGCTATTACCGCAATGACCTTGCAGGTTGGAATTGATTAT